AGCAGACGGTTCGGGACTAGACGGTCTGTACAGCTATATCTGGCCGAGCATCCATAGCCGTATACGTTTGCTCACGGGTGTACGCGTATGACGAACGTGAAGGACAGGTCAACGCACGAATGGTCAAGACATACATGTAACGTGCACGCATCATAACATGAATAACAGAAATGGCATGATGCAAACGTTGTCAAGCCGGTGCCGTCCTATCGTTACTATGGTGCTCCTCTCATAGACAGTCATTTTCGGCTGTTGAACCGAGAAATAACCGTTAACATAGCACGATTGCATTAAACGTGCATTTAATGATGTGCGTGTTCGACGAATATGAACGACTAGTGACTGCATGAATGGCCATGACATCCATGACACCTGCCTCATCATTAATAACACGAACAAGATGCGAGCGCTGCAAAATTGGCACTATTGTTTCATTAGCATTGTGCATCTCTCATAGCCACAGTCGTTTACAGACGTTACACCGAGAAATAACTATTAACATAGTACGCTTCTATTAAACGTACATTTATTGATGTAGATGTATGACGAACATAAACTACAATCGACCACACGAATGGTCAAGCCATTCATGTCACCTGCGTCATAACATAGAAACACAAATGACAAGATGCAAACCGTTGCGAAAGCAGCATTGTTGTTTTGCTCACATAGGGCATCTTCCATATCCTTGGTTGCTTTGGCACGTTAAATCTAACCAACCAATAACATGCCGCGTGACATATATATAAGTTACAACGCAAACACCACATGCCCCAGAAGCACAAAGAAAAAGAAAAAATTTCCCCATACTCTCCATGGCTACTGCGCATAGAAGTCTACTGTATCAGTCGCAATCAAGAACGCTCATGACTAAATTATATATTAATTTACATGTGAATTCCGCAAAACTGAAAAGAAAACACAATCAGCCACATGCCATCTAATTATCACAAAGTCGCAAGTACTCCTCAACTGAGAAGGGTAAGGAGCATAAAAGTACAGCTGGCGCCAATCATTATTCCACATTTCATCTCATAGGGGCCTACTCTAACGTAACTAAAGCAACAGACGAGATGCTAGTGAAGCTAATATTTATATTAACAGTTTCGTCAGTGCAAACAAGATTAAAGGAGTACTGAAACAAAGTTTTGAAGTTGAGATAAGTTCTGGTACGCATTTGTGTGGATACACGCACCAACTACGAAATCTGAACTGATAATATAGCCTAAAACATATTCAAAATTCCTCTAAAATGCGTGTCACTCCACTGCTTGCCAAACGCGCCTTTGGTTTTCGTGTAAACAATCAAGCACCCCCTGCATCACGAGCCTCTGTTTGCTGCTGAAATCCTTGCGAGCGCTCTCTCCTAGCGGACCTTTGCGAAAAAAAGCAGTGGGGGAGACTTGCATGGGAGTACAAAAGCTGATGTCTCTGCCTCAGCAGTGAATTTTTGCGGGTCACACGTATTCACAAAGCCTCAGAGCATGCAAGAAGTCTTTCTGGAAAAGATTTGTCAACGTGGTGTTCATGTGCCGGCGGTTTTGTGTTTGCTTACACGAAACCACCCTGGGTCCTGCTCTGTTGGCACTCTGTGAAACCGAAATTATGACTAAGTGCTATAGAACCATCTCCAAATAATTAACCATCACGTGCTCGAGCACACGAGATTTCTAGCCACGACAAGTCGGTCATCAGCTATCTATTGCAACAGAAAAAAACAAGATGCAACTTTTTGTCAAAGTTCCTTTATGTTTCGTGTCTATTTTAAGATTGCCTTTTAGAAAGGAGGGTATACTTAAACCTAAACATAATTAACAAGAGGTCCAAGAGCAATTGTCTTGATGACCATTACATTTACGATATTGTGTGCTTTACTACAGAAAAGGCTAGAACCCTATGGGAAGAGAGAGAGAGAGAAGTGGTAACAAAACAATGAGGTGTCAGAGAACGGCGCTGTACGGGAGAACACATTGCGTATATATATTGGTAATGTAAACCTGTTGATGTAAACTTGCATCGTAGTGCTGCCTCTTTTATGTCCTTGTCTGCTAGCGCTGAATACGTTTTCAAATTCACTTTACCAAGACACCCAAAAAATGTCAATACCAAAAGCCCTCGCCTTTTCGTTTTATGCATCATGGCAGCCTATTTGGCTCCGTTGGTCACTCTGGATATATCTCATGAAAATGGCCACACTGGGTATATCTCAGATCACCCTATAAACACAATGATGAACTGGACTCGAAGCTCCTGTTAAGGCAAATTTTGCTACCACAGGTTGGTTCAAGGCTGAGGAGGGAATTCCTCCTCAGCCTCAGAATTCCTCCTCAGAAGGCTGAGGAGGTTCTATTCTTTCAACATACTTATTTACTTTATACTCGGGGTATACAGCTGCCACTGCTTAGTAGGAGGAAGCCTAAAAACTTGTGACACACTCTGAAGGTAAAAAAAAAAAAAAAGAGAGCGAGAAGGATATCCTTTTTTCTAATAATAAAAATACTATAGATAAGACCCGGGTGAACAGCAAAGCATTCGAATAAATAATGACGTGATGTATATTGTAGAACACCTCGTTTTTCTCACATTCCCAACATATTCTGACTGTAGCTATGGAAAATTAAATACTGCTAGGAATCGTATTAGAAAGAGAGACTCTGGGTGTTCTTTCAAATATATTAAAATCTCGTTATTTTAAACTCAGTTTATTTGAACTCACACTTAATTCGAACTGATGCCCTAGTCATGGCACAGCCCTGCGTATTTCTATGAGACAAGACTCCTGATAATTGGAATGTTTACGAATCCACAATAGGTTATTGCGAACGTGGAGCCTCGCGGCTTTCACTGTTTCTCCCAGAAGTTCGTCTAGAGTGATTCTGATGTGTTGTAAAACAAAACAAAGCGAAGTTTACAACATATACAAGCGACGAAATAGCAGTATTTCTCAGCAGATGAGATCTCGGACGCTTTACTGGAGTTTTTGAACAAGCTCTAAACGATGAGCATGGATTAGGAGAAATTTTTTTCGGGCGAGTTGTTGTACGTACTCATTTGAGTTTAAGGCGAAAAAAAAAACACAACCAGTGGTCTTGTGTCTTCTCTTGCGGTTGTGTTTTTTGTGCCTTTAAGCTAGGGACGGATGCTCATGAATTCGAGACAAAAAAAACGCAAGCAAGTGTAAATTACCGATTTTGATATTAAGGCTCACTGCTCATGGGAATGCACATCAGTGCCTCCTTCTGGCTTATTACTTACTGATCAATTATTTTGTTCGCTGTTACAGCTTCATGAACTTGAATTCATGAACAATATGAGGAGCTTGAAGTTAATTTAAGCTCCTCTCAATTCGAACTACTTTATAGTCGAGTTGAATTAACGAGTTCTGACTGTATTGTGAAAGGCAAAGGTGTCATCTCAAAACTGAAAAGGATATGGTTAACGCCTTGGTCTATCTCACAGAATTGCATGGGTGCGATTCAAGAAGTTTGAGAAAATATAAAAGAGAAAAAGTTACATTATTACGATCTATATTGTTAAGATAGGGTTTTGACAAACCCATGGACTGCCGTACAAACAAATACGTACATCGTTCATGACAGATCAATCCGGAATACTGTATTGAAGCAGAGGTAATGACTTAGAAAACCGTTTTCTTGGGCTAGTTTGTTCATGACTCCTGAAGGAAAACGATATTTAGCGCAAAGCAATACACGGACAGAAAAAAAGCATCGAAGTAGCACTAACTTCAGACTCTGTTTATTTTATTTAAAAAACTTACGTACATATATCCACAGCACAAGAGCAGTAAAGTGTATCACCCTCGCGATATTCAAACCAAATTCTAGGAGCCAGCAGGAAGTCATATCGAGAAACGTGGCATCACAAGAACGCGATAGGATTTTGGCGGTAGCACGCATGTTTAACAGATTGCAAATTTTACACTGCTAGAGGAAGGAAAGCGGAACAAAGTGAAAGCAAAACAAATGCTTACAAATTTTTAAAGCGAAAAACAAGGGTTCTAGTTGAACAGAAAGTAGAAAACAATTCTTGAACTTTTTTATCCAAGCGGTACGTCAATATAGCGAATAGGCGACGTATTCTGAGCGAAACCAAACAGAAAACAAAAAAATCATTTATTTTTTAAATGGGGAAAGCTGTGCTTCTGAAAGCAGTGGTGTAACAAGAAAACGACAACAATACTGTGTGAATATGTACGTACGTTTATTCAAGAAACACTGTTGGAACTTAGTGCTAGTCCCGTGCTATTTGTCTGTCTGTGTATTGCCTTGCGCCAAATTAATATTTTTCCTTCATTGGAGGTATTGAAGCTGAAAACCTTTTATTTTAGTCATGTCGCGTGAGTCACCAAGCTACTGAAGATACAATTAGCGATGGCCAATGTAAAAGGCAATCAAAAACGAGGCTTTGCAATGTTAATAGGTACCATATGCAGCCCCGCCACGGTGGTCTAGTGGCTAAGGTACTCGGCTGCTGACCCGAAGGTCGCGGGATCAATTGCCCGGCTGCATTTCTGGTGGAGGCGGAAATGTTGTAGGCCCGTGTACTCAGATTTTAGTGCACATTAAAGAACCCCAAGTGGTCAAAATTTCCGGAGCCCTCCACTACGGCGTCTCTCATAATCATATGGTGGTTTTGGGACGTTAAACCCCACAAATCAATCAATAGGTACCATATGCAATTAGAAACGTTAGGAAAGCACCTAGATGAGCTAAAAAAAGTGACACTAGATAACTTTCATTAGTGGTCATACGCTCCTGGAGTGACCACTAGTACGTGGCCAGTGAATCGATGGTGTTTAACAATGACGTTGTGCAATGAATGGTCTGAAACACTCTCAAAGCTTTTGTTTTCTTCGGTGTAGTTACACACGTAATGAACAGAGAGGGCTAACAACATTCATTTGCCTGTTTATTTTTTTCGCTGCCCGATTATGACGATCTGAAAAAAGAACTGTATCTAATAATTCCTCTTCTTTTCAGGTTACGTGTCCAAAACTGTCCGTTCGTTCTCGTTGCGAAGAGCTGTAAAGAAACTCGTGCAGATGCCCGATTGGGGAGACTACTCCAATGAGCTTGGCTTCGTTCACGGAATTCGCGTCCTCTCTGCCACATGGGTCATGCTGGGCCATAGCCTAATGATCATAGACCCGCACAGCATGTGTAAGTAATGGATGCGACTCGCATTCTATAGAAATGTGTACCATCTTATTTTGTTTATTTACATCTTTATTTATTTTAAGAATACTGCGAACGAAACGTCCAAGCATGATGAGCAAAATACACAATAAGTAATATAAAAGAAGGTTGCAAAGTGTTTTTTTACACACAACTTTTTAGAAAAAAGCAATTGAACAATCTGGCCATAATACAATATTTTTAAGAAAGTCGTAAAAGAACAACAACATTTACACAAATGATTATGGGTGTTGAAGAATGCTTCCGTTAGTTTATTCTACTCAGGTATAGGTTGTGTAGAAAAGGAGTAGCAAAAATTGTCAGTCCTTGCGAAGATTAGCGTTAGGGAACGGGGATAGTGGTGCCAAGTGGGTCTGCTTAACAAAGGGAAAATGAACGCTGTGGTGTTTAAGGATAGCCGATGGTCAGCTATGTCAGAAATAAACTCTATTCGACTATTTTTCTCTGAATTTGTGATAATAATACTAATTGCAGTTAGTGGCGCGTAAATGAAGTCATTTGACTCAAATTTACAATAAAAAAACTTACTGCGTTCCTTTGAATTCTTTGTAGGTTTTGAATGTCAATTTTTCTGTGGGGATCCCAAACTATGGAGGTGTACTCAAGTTTTGCCTTAATTAAAGAAAAGTAGGACAGGAGTTTAACACAAGTGGGGCAGTCTGTATCTTGTGGCGGAGAAAGCATAATTTCCGGAAAGTGGCAGAGCAAATGTTGAAGGAACTCGTTAACGTTTACTTTAAGCAAAGGTGCTTCGGTTAAATTGTATGAGTTGTCTAGTAGGACTTTATCTGTGGATTAGAGGGAGATAGACACATTTCTTAGCATTAAGAAGCATTCCGCATTGTTCGCACTATTTTGACAAATTGCCCATGTTATTATTAGGATAACATGGGTCACTGATGCAGGTTACTTCTCTAAACAAAACACAACTGCCCACAAATAGAAGAATTTGTACAGGGGTGCTAATTACATTGACAGTGTAGACCAAAAACAGTAGCGGGCTGAGTACGCTCCCCTGCGGAACGCCAGAAGTTACCGTAAGGCAGCCGGATTGTTGTTCTCCTACCTGAACATATTGGTTGCGGTTGTGTGGATAAGCTGAGATCCAGGAGAAAAATGGTTCTCGTATACCAATTAACCGAAGCTGAAGTCTGAAGTTGGCTCAGATATGCGTACAAACATGTGGGGGAGGGGCATTCGTTTGAAAGCTATTTTTAAATTCAAGAGATAACAAAAAGCTAGGTGAATTGCGTTTCTTTGTAAGAGCTCAACAATACTGGTCAACCACTGGCTGATGATATTGCCTCGTATCACGGTTTTACGTTTCACACGCGTTCTATCTCTCTTTCACTGTGTTGTTACTTATTTCTAAACACTGCTCGGCCTAAGATGGTATCAACAGTGCGATACATTTTTGGAGTTTTTGGTATTTTTGTTGAAAAGTAAGCTCGCCTGATTGAACACGAACACTTGTTGTTGCTATTATGACATGTACCGCCATGTTATTGTTGCAAAAAATCATCTATGCCACATGTCACGTTATGTCCTATGATCATGTAAGCGAATGAATTATGCGTGTTATCATGTGGACACCAGAGATTATCGAGTGTGTGTCGCAGCTGCTGCATAGGACTTTATTACAAGGACAGTCATGTTAAATACTGGACATACATGACCTGGGTTTCAATTTTTCATGCTTTTCAGGCAACATTTTTGTCGGAGAAATGGTTAAGCCGTGGATTCCCGGTATTAACCATTCTTGACCATCGCGACGCAACATTATGTCTAATAGGGCGAATAAATGGTTTCTTCTGAAAAACAACCTTTTTTGTCAGCAGGAGCTTATAATTCTACTGGCAAAAATGAAAATGCAGCATAAATTTCTGAAAATGAGTAGCGCACATATCAATGTCCCACAATAATTTATTCTCACGTGCAAACGCGCAAGCAGATTAAACACCGTGTTTCAGGGGTTTCCTACGAACGCATATTATTGCGATAACTTTCATTTTATACGGGTCATGCACAGATGCTTTTGTGCAAAATTGGAAGCGTGCTGCCGCCCACTACACCATTGTTTATGTTCATTCTGCAGCGAACTTGATGTCTTACTTCAAACGGTTCCATGACGAGTTCCTCTTCAGCGTCCAGGTGAACTCCTTCATGGCAGTGGAGTCGTTCCTCGTGATTACGTGAGTCTGTTGCCTCAAAGCAAAAGTGAACCTAGCTTTCTCTTTACCATCCAATTTCCTCATGTCAAGAACATGTTGCCCTCCTGCTTCAATACAACTTCCGCCTACTGTGTCTCGCAGCGGATTCCTATCAGGCTACCTCGTGACCAAGGCCCCACGTGTGCATCTGTCGCCAATTATCGTTATAATCATCGCGCTCTTCAGACGCTACGTGAGGTAAGTATGCTCGTTCATCGATGCCCGCAAAGGCTTACACAAAATAGAAACATATTCGCGATGTAAGGTGTGAGGCAAGACCCGCTATCCTTAATCTATACAATGACACCAACCCCTTTCATTTTTTGAAACATAGCGGCATGCATGGCACCGCTCGAGTTATAACCTCATGCTGTCAATTAAATAAACATAATTCAGGCAGTAGCGTCAATCACAACTGGAATTGGAAAATATGGAGTGGTTCACTGGCGAAGGGCATGTGATGTCATGGCGTACAGGGCTCTTTCTCTCTTGGTCGCTCTGCGACACAGTGAAAGATGTGCAAGAGTGTACGTTCATGGATTATATTGAAAAGGCAGCCCTAATATCTCTGCGAATTTTGTAGTGCAGCAGGGCAGCAAGAACAAATTAAATAAGCCTCCCCACATTACCTACAATTTAGACCTTCTTATGTGCCAAGGGCAGTAAAAACAAACGATAAGCTGTATAACTTATTGGACAATAGGTGCTACCCATACGCAGTTTGTTACCAGTAGGCCTAAATGAAATTATTCAGCCACCAAATTTCTTGCATTGAGAGTTTTTAACATTATGAATTGCACTTTGTAAAGATAGGATAATCTGCACTTCCACCTGTCACAATCTTGCACGTTTATATTACTATTAAGGCCACAGGTGGCCGGTTTTCTAAAGATGCGTAGGTTCCCGAACACGTAATTTCTGCCTACTTATACAAATGTTAGCGAGCAAGCATAAATGCGAGAGATTTGTTACAAAAGGCTTGTAACAAACTAAACTATTCAAAGTTTTGATATTTTATTGAAAAATTAACATTCAGAGGCAACGTGCCACGTAATACATCGACAAAGGGGTCCACTGTTAATTGGAAGATTGAAGCACGTAGAAAAAATGCAGAGTGTTCTTGCGAAGGTGTTCAAGATCAGCCTCGCTGGCTCAAAAACTTAACAAACACAAATGTATACCAGTAGTAGTAGACAGAAATAGGAAATTTTGTATTCAAATTAATGTTGATAAACCGCGCTAGGGCATTGTAGGCATGACTTTGTAATAACTACAATTTGCTGTAGAAATTAGGCAACAGCTGCATGCATTTCGATGCTATCATCATACCAATTACCATGCTTTTTAATGAATTCGTCCACACCTACACTAAATAGGCGCTCGTTGGACGCATATGATGGTACTCCTCTCGCAAACGCCAGATAGGCAGGCAGCAGTCCACCACTGCGACACAACGTCACCCCGAGCCCTGGTTAATCGGCACCCATGCGACGAAGAAAGTTCTGGTAAAGTGCTCAAGATAATTGTAATAAAATTGGGTAGTCAAGAAAAGCTTTACATTACTGATAACTGTTTACGTAACTACGCTACTCGTTATAGTCCCAAAATGGTAACAAGTACGTTATTAACTAACCAAAAAATATAACGTGTTACCGTTATCAGCGTAACCTGTAACGTGCCACCACCAACACTGGTAAGGCAGGCGCAGTGCACGCTATGTGTGGTGTGCTTTCGACGTTCGCTACCGCCGCACTTCGTATCGCCGTGGAGCGAACCGTTGACGCAAAGAACAACGCTCACGGTGCTCACTGCACCTATGCGGAACTAGTTGCAGTGATCGGTCAACGATGGCGCCAAGCAACTGCCACGCGCGTCGATGTTCCTTTTAACCACGTACCGCTGTGTATTTTCATGAAGAATTGCGGTATGCGTTAGTGTACGTCATTGCTCACGCGTCGTACTTAACGTCTGTACTAGCCACTTGTCCAGGAGGATTAGAATAGGTGAAGCGTAAATGGTGCTTCACGCTGATATTGACACACGTGAATATTGAAACGTATGTTTGATCTGTCTTAAAAAACTCGTAGTGTGTACGTAAGCAAATACAAATACAAAAAGTGAACAAAATAAGCTTAAGGAAGTGCGTCCTGATGCACTACGTTCTCGGGCAGCTTTGAGTGTGTGTGTGTGTGTGTGTGTGTGTATTCATGTATGTGTGTTTTCGGGCTCCTAGAAAATTTTAGGTGAATTTGTGCGCTTAAAGGTCTGCCGTCAAGGCGAGCTAACGCAGCAGCTATAGCGGCAGTCTGTACGCGCTGTAGCGAAGGCAGTGTCACAAAACGTGCTCTATTGTTTCATCGCTGTCGCAATAATAGCAAACAGCACTGTCTGTCATGCAGATTACGAAGGCCAAATATTTGGTGAAAGTGACACCAGCCACCCTAATCAGAACAGTCAGTGCTCGAATGCCGACACGATCTGCCTTTGCACAGAAAATCAGTCAAGGCCTTATTGAACTTCATGCGTGGTAGTGGCCTACTGAATAATCTGCAGCACTCCCGCTCTTTCTTTTTTTTTTTGCGCGTCTGCTTTTCTCTTCGCTTTCCTTCTCATCTTTTTCTCCTCCCCTTAGTGCAGGGTATCAAGCAAGATGCTACGATTCTCATTGAACTCACTGCCTTTCTCTCGATTTATTCTCTCTCTCACTCTTTCGCTTTTTGTGCGCTTAATATGTTCGCTCTGCCTGCTGATAGGCGTAGTGAGTCTAATGAAGGTGTGAAGAAGAAAACGCATTGTTGGCAAGCAACATCGCCACCGTCGCTTGGGTACTGGGTGCTGGGCTTGTCTCGCTTGGCTCGTGCTGATCATCGCCGGCATCTGCTTGACCGTTGCTCTTGTCCGATCGTGTTTCGTCGTAGGACCACCGTCACAACAGTCGCCAATAAACCCTTTTTCAATTGGTGGAGGGTGCTGACATTCCCCGTCGCCTGAACCTGGGTGCTGCCATTCGCCGTGGCCTAAACCTGGAGCTGCGCAACCGAACGCTACCTCCCATCATGGCTACCAACAACGCGCAACCTGGCTCTTCCACTCCATCCCCCAGCAACCCCGGCGTTCTTCGTTTGCGAGAGCCCAAAGTCTTCAGCGGAGCTGATGAGACCGACGTGGACGACTGGTTCGATAACTACGAACTGGTGAGCGCAAACAACAAGTGGGATGACGCGGACAAACTGACTACGTCATCTTTTATCTCACTGACGTGGCCGAAATGTGGTATAACAACCACAAAAACGACATTACGACGTGGTCCATCTTCAAAACGTCGTTTGCTGACATTTTCGGCCGACCCGCTGTCCGCAAGTCCAGAGCCGAACAACGCTTGCGGACTCGCGCACAGAAGCCATCTGAATCGTTCACCAGTTATATCAAAGACATTATTGCTCTTTGCAACCGCGTGAACAACGCCATGCCCGAGTCAGAGAAGATTCAACACATCCTCAAAGGGATAAATGACGGCGCATTTCAAATGCTCCTGGCGCGCAATCCTGCCACTGTTGCGGAACTTGTGACGTTATGTCAAAAGCTTCGACGAGTTGAGGAAGCAGCGCGCCCTGACTCGGCCATTTTCCTCACACGCTGACTCACTATCAAGTCTTACTTCTGTTCCTGATTACTCAACAACCCTGCAAGAGATCAAAGACTTTGTGCGTGAAGAAGTAGCTCGGCAGCTGTCGCTAATTCCCTTCACGCAGCAGCCGCCTTCCTCTCGTCTGCCCTCCCCACTCCGCGACGTTATTGCCGAAGAGGTAGCTCAGGCTGTTCCCGTCGCTGCCCACCAGCAGCCTGTGGCCATGCCTGTTCCCCATGCGCCGGCTATGCAGCCGTGGCCGCGCCTCTTACTTATGCCCAGGTGGTACGGAGCAGACCTCGCCAGCAGCTTTTGCCACCCATGCCTGCAGTTGCTCCCCACTCTACCCCTCTTTCGACACCTTGGGCCGCACCACGAGTCAGCAATTCCTGGCGCACTGCTGACAATCGACCGATCTGCTACGCCTGCGGTACTCCAGGACACGTGGCACGATATTGTCGTCGTCGCTTCCAATCGCAACACAACACTACTTGGCCGTTACTGTATGACCCGCAGCCCACGCACCTACCTGCTCCCTATCCTTCACCGCAGTATGGCTACACTAATCTTCCCGAGTCTCAGTCACCCCGGCCCCCAGCTCCGACTCACTCTCCCCGCTCGCCGTCTCCTCGCAGGCGATCTCTGTCCCCAATGCGTCCCGACCCGCTTCCTCCACCGGGAAAACTGAACGCCGCAGTTCCAGAGGCAAGAACTGCGCCGTCATCGAAATGCCCAAGTCCTCGCACTCACCTGCTAACGTCGTCGCCATATCTGTCGATGGTGTTTCTACCTTTGCCCTCATCGACACAGGTGCTGCCGTTTCTGTTATAGCCGCCCAGCTCTGCCGCTCCCTACGCAAAGTGACCATGCCGCTCTCTGGACTATCGCTTCGTACGGCTAGCGCACAACCAGTTCGACCTCTCGGCACCTGTACAGCCCGCATTTTCATCCAAGGCTCTATGTACGTTGTCGAGTTCATCGTCCTTTCGGTGTGCTCGCATGACGTTATCCTCGGGTGGGACTTCCTGTCACATCATCATGCCGCCATCGACTGCGCACGCGCTGAAGTTCAATTTTCGCACCTGTCTGACGAACCTTTGCACGAAGCTCTTGAGCAGTCCCCAAAACTCGTCGTACGGGAAGACACTGAAATTCCGCCAGCCTCTCTTGCCGTTGTCCCTGTTTGCTGCGATGGCCATAACGACGCTACAGTAATGTTTACACCTTCCGACATTTTCATGAGCCGCAGAGCCATTTCCTTGCCTTTCGCTACACTTGACGTCACTGCGGGCCGAAGCAATATTTTCGTCCACAACCCCCTTTCTGCACCGCTTACGCTACTTGCCGGCGAATGTCTCGGTCGAGTGGAGTACCTCGATTCCTCTTTATTCCTTAACATGCCAGACGAGTCGCGCAGTAGCGCCTCGACCGAACTTCATGCCCTTTCCCCACTGGAATGCCCACCGAGCTCATCGAGTGACACCTTCTCGAGTTCCATCGCCGACACCTTAAGTGCCCATGAACGCGCCAAGCTTCTTAATCTTCTCCAGCACTTCGCGAATTCATTCGACGTTTCTCAGCCGCAATTGGGTCGGACTTCCGCAGTGCACCACTACATTGACACCGGTTCACACCAGCCATTGCGTCAAAGACCGTACCGTGTCTCTGCTGCAGAACGTCACGACATCAACGACCAGGTCGAAGAGATGCTACGCCGTCGCGTTATCAAACCATCGCACAGTCCTTGGGCATCTCCTGTCGTTCTAGTTCGAAAGAAGGATGGATCGATTCGCTTTTGCGTCGACTACCGGCGATTAAACAAGGTGACGCGGAAAGACGTCTATCCACTACCGCGCATCGACGACGCCCTTGACAGCCTCCAAGGAGCCGAATTCTTCTCCTCCTTAGACTTACGATCTGGATACTGGCAGGTTCCTATGGCAGAAGCTGATCGCCAGAAAACTGCGTTCATTACACCAGATGGCCTGTACGAATTTAACGTAATGCCATTTGGTCTCTGTAATGCTCCTGCCACGTTTGAACGACTCATGGACAACACACTGCGTGGACTGAAGTGGTCTGTGTGTCTATGCTACCTCGACGATATTGTCGTTTTCTCTCCCGATTTTCCTACACATCTGCTTCGGCTCCAACTGGTTCTGACGTGTTTAACCAACGCTGGTCTCCAACTGAACCTTAAAAAGTGCCGCTTCGCCGCGCGAGAGCTGTCCATCTTAGGACACATCGTGTCCAAGCATGGTGTTCGACCCGACCCTGCAAATTGCGAGCAGTCGCTGAGTTCCCGAAACCTACTACACTGAAAGAATTACGCAGTTTTGTCGGACTATGCTCGTACTTCCGGCGCTTCGTGCGAAATTTTGCGTCGATCATGTCACCACTGACCAACCTCCTACGCGGTGATGCAGACCTTTCATCCTGGTCTTCTGACTGCGACGTCACGTTTGCCACGCTCCGTAGTCTGCTAACATCTCCTCCAATTCTTCGGCATTTCGACCCAACAGCTGCAACGGAAGTTCACACAGACGCTAGTGGGGTTGGTCTAGGCGCCGTCCTCGCCCAACGCAAGCCGGGCTACTCCGAATACGTCGTCGCTTATGCGAGTCGCACACTTACTAAAGCTGAGGCCAATTACAGCGTCACTGAAAAAGAGTGCTTGGCGCTAGTGTGGGCGCTTCGCAAGTTCCGCCCTTATTTGTACGGTCGCCCATTCGACTTGGTAACGGACCACCATGCACTTTGTTGGCTCGCCACATTGAAAGATCCTTCTGGCCGCCTAGCTCGGTGGGCACTGCAAATCCAGGAGTACGACATTCGTGTCATCTATCGCAGCGGACGCAAGCATTCTGACGCCGACGCCCTGTCGCGTTCGCCTTTACCTCCCGACTCGGCCTGCGGAACCACTGGTACCAACTCCGTCGCCTCTCTCGACCTCGACTCCTTTACCAGTGAACAACACAAGGACCCGTGGATCGCTTCCCTTTTAACTGTCTCTCTGGATCGTCAACCACTGCAGTACCACGATCTCTCCGACGTCAAGCTGCACATTTCGCCATTCGTGATCGGCTGCTACACCGACGCAACTACGCCCCTGAAGGTCGTAAATGGCTCTTGGTTGTCCCACGCAGCTTGCGATCACAAATCTGCGCCTCCTTTCACGATGATCCCCAATGTGGTCATGCCGGAGTTTTCAAAACTTACGAACGCATTCGCCATCGCTTCTACTGGCGCGGAATGTATAATTTCGTTCGAAAATTCGTTATGGGCTGCCCTGACTGTCAACGCCGCAAATCACCGCCCTTTCCACTCGTCCGGTGCGCTTCAACCGCTTCCGTGCCCTGCCAAACCTTTCGATCGGATCGGAATCGATCTCTATGGCCCTCTACCGACAACATCAGATGAAAATCGGTGGATAATAGTCGCTGTGGACCATTTAACACGCTACGCTGAGACCGCCGCCCTTCCAAGTGCCACTGCGCGGGACGTAGCATCCTTCATCCTTCATCGCTTCATACTACGACATGGTGCACCTCGAGAACTACTAAGCGACCGAGGTAGAGCCTTCCTATCAGAAGTCGTCACGTCTCTGCTTTCTGAATGCCATGTTGTTCATCGCAAGACCACCGCATACCACCCGCAGACTAACGGGCTCACGGAAAGATTTAACCGCACCCTTGGCGATATGCTCGCCATGTATGTGACATCCGATCATACTAACTGGGATAGCATTCTTTCATTCATCACGTTCGCATATAACACCGCGACACAGTCTACCACTGGATTTTCACCTTTCTTTCTTCTTTATGGACGCGAACCATCTCACACCATCGACACTCTCCTTCCATACCGTCCTGACGCATCCGAATGCCCATCTGTGTCCGAAGCTGCCCGAAATGCGGAAGATTGCCGTGAACTCGCACGCACCTTTACGTCACAAGAACAACAGCGCCAGAAAGAAAACAACGCCGACTCTTCACAAAGCCCCAGCTATTCCCCGGGATCACTTGTATGGCTGGCTGTTCCTTACCAAACCCCCGGCCTTTCCTCAAAACTCGTTCCAAAGTACGAGGGCCCATACCGCGTTTTGGAGCAAACCTCGCCGGTGAATTTTCTCATCGAGCCACTTTCCCCATCTGACGACATGCGCCGGCGTGGACGTGACATCGTCCACGTCGCCCGCCTTAAGCCATATCATAGCCCTCGGCCTCCAGACTCTTAGGTCGCCAGGATGGCTCTTTTTTGGCGGGGGCAAATTGTGAAGAAGAAAACGCATTGTTGGCAAGCAACATCGCCACCGTCGCTTGGGTACTGGGTGCTGGGCTTGTCTCGCTTGGCTCGTGCTGATCATCGCCGGCATCTGCTTGACCGTTGCTCTTGTCCGATCGTGTTTCGTCGTAGGACCACCGTCACAACAGTCGCCAATAAACCCTTTTTCAAAGGTTAAGGTTACTAAATTAACTGTTCAATTTCTGTCAATACAGATATGCTAATATATAGGAGTCCACGTTGACCACTTCATGGTTTTTTTTCTGATGCACGATGCCCCAAGAATTTGATTAAATGTATTCATGTGTAGAGTTTAGTGGTGGTCAGTGTATTAGGCACTTGCACAAAACTTTGGTAGTATGAGAACAACAACACGGTATAGCATGGATATGAAGACGCAGGTACTAAAAACACAGTGAAAAACGACGTGGTGCCTTTCTTGCAGGCTCATTGTGCCAATGGCGGCGCTTATGGGATTCACATTTCTCATTCCGGCTCTCGTGGATGGTCCAGCCTTGAGAGACTATTGGCCCGTATTCGAAAGGTCATGCACCTATCACTGGTGGAAGATCTTCACGATGACGGAAAACTACATGGACGACATAAGCGACATGGTGAGATCTAACGAAGTTTCAGCCACAGATCGTTACACTGGGGCAGTTCAGCGAATAAGCTAATGCTTAGTTCGTGGCCTTGTATAGCTAAAGCTTCTATTATTCTTCTATCTCTGATTCCAAACATTTATATTGCATCGAAGACAATATTACATATTGTTCATGTGTGGTCACTGGCGACAATGCTCAGGAGGTAGTGAAAACCTTTTGTCTTGTAATACATAAAAGTGACTGAATAATCATGCTTAGGTATTTCCCATATAGACTTGGTGCCCTCCTTCAAATATCAAGCTCTTACATTTACTGGACTAAAGTAAAACTCCTGTCACTTTTACGCGCTTAATAACGTGCGTTGGTAACCCTTCTTTGCAGCTGGCCACAACAGCGTAATGTCAGAGAGAGAGAAGAACGAAGTGCGATGCCCCCAGCAGTGTACGCCATCTTCGCGAAGGTTACAACACACATTTCATTGCACGAATGTCATGCGTGTTACTTTTAAGTGTGGCATTTATCAGATGGAGTTGATTGATTTATGGGGTTTAACGTCTCAAAACCACCATATGATTATGAGAGACGCCGTAGTGGAGGGCTCCGGAAATTTCGACCACCTGGGGTTCTTTAACGTGCGCCCAAATCTGCGCACACGGGCCTACAACATTTCCGCCTCCATCGGAAATGCAGCCGCCGCAGCCGGGAATCGAACCCGGGACCTGTGGGTCAGCAGCCGAGTACCTTAGCCACTAGACCACCGCGGCGGGGCTATCAGATGGAGTCTGGGATGTTTGAGTATACTTGTACTTCATGTCTGTATATTGTTACATAAAGGTCTTTTTAACCACCCTTCGTGTTTGGTAAAAAAAACTCGTACAGTGAAAAGCAGACGCTGCTCAGAACAACCAGCTCAGCGAAATATTGCAGTCGTGCGCTGCACTTCACACTTACTCAAGCGTCCTGTCTTCACACACAGACCCGTACTCACAGTCCCATTTCTTTTTGAGCGACTGCTATGCCGTCATGGAGCATATTGCTCCTATTGGTCGACAGCTGATAAAGCACCTCTTGTGACGGGGTGCCGGCAATGCCCTCTGTAGTGCGTTGAAGTTGCCCAACAAGAATACTACCGCGCATCGAAATCACATGGAGAGAGAGAGAGAGAGATAATGATGGCTTTTTCACGAAGCGCGTTCAGGTTACACCACCATTGTTCAAGGTCACGACTAGCACTGACGTAGCTTCTTCTTTACCATTTTTTCCCTTTTTGTTTTCCCTCCTGTGTAATGGCTTCCAGAGAGCTCGTTGAGACAAATGTTGAGAAAACGCTTACAACATGTGGCAAATTGCTTTACGGATTCAAAACGTATTTGCGGTGATCGATTCGTCAGGCAACAAGTACCAATATTGAGTTAATGCCTTGATTACATAAAAAAGTGTTCAAAATACCTTTAAAGGCACTATGAACAGTAACGTATTTTTCCACGTACTAGTAGGTATTTCATTTGTTATATCAAAACCTTGCCAGGAGAGTACGATTGGTAAGCGAGGGAAGACGAAAGAAAATGTGACTGATCCCCTTCTCTAGGAATTGGTGTAACACGAAAGTGAACGTGTCTTGACAGAGGTAGTTGAACATTTATTGTGCATTGTTTCTACAACGGCAACAAATCGCAAAGTCACGTTAAGAACGGCAAGCAGCTCGAAACTCGCAACGCACAACTCAAGCAGGAAGCACGCAGGAAGTTGAAATAGACAGGACGAGCGCGGACCATCAACTGTCGCAGCTCCACACTTGAAGCGTGCTGTTCAAACCGACAAAAAGAGGCACGAAACAAGCGCACAAGTATACACAAGAGAAGCGGGAACAACTGTCACAATTCTTCGTGCCGCATGTGTCAGCAGTGCGCCCTTTTCATAAACGCTGCCGTGGCAGCGAGCGAAGTGACCTTCGCCCGCCCCTAAATTACGAGTAAGATAAGCGCACGCAAGAAGAGACCACGCATAGTTAAGACGGCGCTTCGTGGAGGCAACGACCTTGAAAGCATGCTCAACTTGAGCCTGCCACACCATCTCACCACTGGTAACGACAACGCGCAAAAGTTCAAAGCTCTGAGAACTGCCAAACGGTGCATGATGTACATAAATGGCTTGCCGTTAGCATACCGGACAACGCTTTGTGGCGTAGTTATTAGCGCCGCGTGCTGGGGCGCGAGAATTTGCCGGTTTGATTACACGCGACAGATGCGTGCCTTCTGGTTTCCTTTGTCTGCAGTCTCGTAGTATACATTTTTCAACGTCAATTCTGTGACAAGAAGTACGTCCGCGGAGCCGTGGTGAACATCGGCATGGAACACTTTCGTGTTAAAAAAAACGGGGTTAGCAACGTTCTCATGGAGTTCATGGCATTCTCAAAGCAATCATCACGACACCATAGGTTTTCAAAGGCGTACGTTGGAGCCTACGTAGTTTCCGGTCACCCAACACCGAGTACCCCTGAGGAGGCTAGAGACTTGACCTACATTGTTTCTGAAAGTTTCATGTAGTCACTATCACCAAAATACGAAAGAACAAATCCGAGACATAATGTTCGAATGTCTTCGCAAAAACCTGAAAAAAAATGACAATCTAGAAAGTCATAGTAAAAAGTCAGAGTAAAAAGAGACCACAGCTTTTTAAAAGGATATAAGCAGTCTTGACCAATTGATTGTTTCTTTTGAGTGTCTTTTTAAGGCTGACAAATGAAAAATCTTGTAATATTACTAAAGCAATTGGGGCACTATAACATGTTTACACGCAGTGTTTGCCGCACTACTGGTACATCGCAGTGGACTTCCAGCTCGCAATAGTTTCAACTGTGATCCTCGCAGCCGTAACACCTAGGTGAGTACAGTGAAGTGACTACGCTCACAAGTTATTTTTACTCACGCTGAATCTTTTATATATATATAATATATATATATATATATATAATATATATATATATAATATATATATATATATATATTATATGTGTGTTGTGTGTGTGTGTGTGGTGTGTGTGTGTGTGTTCCTGGCCACCTACATTTTCTATTTCATTATTTTTTTCCTTTTGTGTGTTTTAAATAATAAAGGCTCTATCATTCAGCCGTATCATTCTTCGCCTTTCTCGCGCTTGAGTAGATTTAGACAAAGCTTTTTTACGGCATGTTCTTGGAACGACCTTGCATGAATTCCGTTCTCAGTGCCTAAGCAAAATTGTTAGCATGCTTAATTTTACCCGAAATTCAATTATTCATATTTGGTTAGAGTCAAGTTACTTAATTTTTACCAGGACAATGCGTGCCATTCATTTCAGGTGGCCAAAGGCTTCCTTGTGGCTTATGGCCACAATAGCAGTGACCGCCTGCCTGGCAACAGGGATCCAAGTTTACGTAAAAGACGCACTACCTTTCAACATCATTATTACAACTAACGTAAGGTAAGTTTCCCTGAATAGCCCTTTCGCATGTCATCGACTTTATCTTTCGCTATGCTTCAGTGTATTTCCGGGTCTACGAGCCAGCAGAATTACGCTAGCAGAGGCAATTCATTTGCTTCTGGTTTCCTATATGCGAATGCACGAGTGAGTGCTAAATGATATAAATGTTCATCTTTTATGTCCTTTCGCTCCGAAAAGAGCAACACTTAAGGTACTGAGTTCTTGCTATTACCAGCTTCGTGTGCACTACGTTTCGTTATGATGGTGTTTGCTGAGTGATTGTCATTCAAGCGTTGAAGCAATCGCCATTGTTCGACAAACGCGTATGCAAATAACATGCACGCATGCAATGCTTGCGTGTCAATAGGCAATGCCTAATTTGTAAAGCTAATCTTGTACAATTATACAATTTTATGTCCTAAATATTTCACAACACCGACATGCAAGGCATATGTATGACTAATAAATGATGTGTCTTTTTTTTTGGGGGGGGGGGGGGGGAATGTGAGCGGTGCCTGAAGGGGGGAGGTATAGTATATTATAATCTTTGCTATGAAATCTGCCGGGGCACAGGAGTTTGTTCGCCATTTCAATTCAGCAGTGTTCGAGAAAAAAGAGAGACGTTGTATAGCAAGTTTCCAGTATTCTATTCTGCACTGCACCCACTCAAATAGTTAAAGCCAGTTCCATGATTGTGCAATCAGTAGAGACAGTGGAGCTGGCAAGCAAGCACAATAAACACAGATTGAGTATTATTGCCTTCTTTCTTTTATGTTTCTTATATCCTTTTCTTTAAAATATTTCACATCTTTTTTATTTTTCTTTCTTTCTCTATCTTTTTCTATATTGCTCTTCTTCTCCACACCACTCCCTCACCTCACTTCTATTGCCCACCTCCTTGCAACTTTAAAGTATGCATGGCTATGCTATGCTATAGGGAATGCTTGGGACATACAATTCATAATTAGGGACACAGAAGAAATTTAAAAAGATCCGCTTCTAGAACTTTTCCAAGGTCGTGTGTCGAACTTAGGCACCGTCTTTGAAATGTCTCTGTTATAAATCCTGCTCAGTCGTATGACGTCTCGGTTAAGTAAATTTATGCCAAGGATGAGCCATACTTTTCTGATCTCTCAGTAACCGGTAGCGCAAAAGCAGAGCCAGCACAAGCGCAGGTAAACAGAATGTTATGGTTCGATAAAGCAAGCAGATATAGAGTTGACTGCACTTGGAAGTGACGTGAGTCCTGAAATGTTTCTATTTTTACCTAGCCCTTTGGTTGGCTTTGCCGTTGGTTATCAAATATTGCTTTTAAAATGAATGCGTCACATGTCAAAGCACAATATTATTATGAAGAACGCCGTAGCGAGATATTTCGAATAAACGTATACCACGTGGCACTCTTTCACATGTAAATATATTAGGTGCACGTGCATTTTTGCATTTCGACCTATCTGATTGTCGCCGCTATGGTCAAGCATCGAATCTGCCAACTAGCAACCTTTGAACGAAGCAGTATCTAGTGATTCACCGTGGTAGCTATTCGGCGAAACCAGTAGAAATGAATATCTAAATTTTAATGTTGTCAAGCTGCTTGTGACACATTGCTCTCAGTGTAAAAACGGCCATTCTTGTCATACAAGGTCTATAAGAGCATAAAACTAAAACATGTACGGACAAAGACACATGACTAGCACTTGAGCGCAAAGATTAAGATTCACTCTCGTTTTTGCAAGACAAACACCCATACCGAAGAAACAAGTAGTCAGTGAAAGAGTTATAATTTTTTTGAGAGCGCACAGTCCCCCTTTTTTTTCTAGAGGCTTTAAACATAGGTTTTATTTTCGGAGCTTTGCGCCCAAGCTTGTTTCTGGAAAATGGATATGCGCTACGGAGTCGAGTAATAACAAGAGTTCAGCTTTTGAAATCGCTTTACAGTGCGGGGTGCAATCTGACAGAAGCACTCATTCCTTCATGTTTGAGTCAACAGACACATAATGAATAAGCTTACTTCCAAAGTCGTTATTCTTTTAAACCCATCACTAGTGTCAACGAAAGCGCGAACACCTGCGCATTCAGGTTTAGGCGCATGAGAAAGAATACGATGCTAGAAATTTTCCTGGGTCCTCCACTAAGCGTGCCTCCTAATTGTAACTTAGTTACGGCAGGTACATACAAAGCGAGAATTCAAATTTTGTCACATTTTTTTCTATTTTACAGGAAGCTGATCGTCTCCCAAACCGATATTTACATCAAGGCACATACACACGCCGCACCCCTTTTTATTGGGGTCATTTTCGGCTGCCTCGCCACGCGGCGGCACCGACTGTCCAAGCCAGTGCAGGCCGTCGCGTGGCTCCTGGCCGCCACTATGTCACTCGCTGCTCTGCTGGGAGTGCGGGCATGGTCCCAGGGCCGTTATCCTGAGCGAATCGAGTCGGTGTTCTACGCAGCCCTGCACCGTGCGTCGTGGGCACTTGGCCTTAGCTGGGTCATGTACGCCTGCACCACGAAACGAGGTGGCCTGGTCAACAAGATACTCTCCTGGCCTCTCTTTTACCCGCTGGGAAGGCTGTCGTTCTCTGTCTTCTTGGTTCACATCATCGTGTTGGCCTTCAACTCAATTCTAAGTCGGGAGTTCATTACCAACCACCCGTTTTTACACGTATGGCTCCTTACCACATTTCTTTTTTTTTCCTCTTTCGGTATATTATATACCCTTATTACCACAGAAAACAGAGATTATTGCTCGAAATACGAAAATAGAACTTAATTACAGCCATTTCCTACGCATTAAGAGGCCCCGTAGCACGATACAATTAATGAATATAAAGTGATTCGCCTATCTCGAATAATGTTCATATCGAACATACTAAAGTACGGTCAAGCAAATGCATGCACGTGTTTTCGTGTTTTTTTCAGAAGTGTTTCTAGTTACCACTCCTGTAGCAGCAGAGGAAATTTTCAAGGCTGTAACTGCAGAAGTATGGTGGTGCTCACTGACATTCCGCAAAAGTAAACGCTAAGATATTCGCACTTTTCTTCACAATCAGCACCATGCCTTTTGCACATGAAAACAAAAGCGTGGCGCAAAAGCCAATGATTGACATGTAGCTCAAGTATACGCTAGAACTGATACTGCCATCAAAAAAAGCGTTTTATTTCAGCTGTCACAGTGTCATTTCTTTCGCAACTGCCTTGTAACATAATATTATCATAGGGATAGAATATTACAACAAAAACAATGAAAAAGATTTTTCGGGTCGTTTTTATCAGAGCCCCTGATGGTTGTTAACAAGAAAATATTTACCGCGAATAACATTTTGCAAACGCGCTATCTCACAATACAGCAGAGTACAGATTTTTCGTTTTACACTGCCTAGCTAACAAACAAACTTTAGGTTGAATGTGCTTGTTTGAATTTTTCTTTTGTTGCTTCATGTAAAAAAATGAAAGCAGCATTTCAATCGGAACTGAAATATGTCTATTATTGGTATAATACAGACTTTACTTCGTAGTTCGCCACGGTAATCATAAAAACAGAACAAATTAATTTTATAGCATTCAGTTCAAATCGATGTTCATGACACTCCTTTGAATTTGAACAAAATACATGAAACATGATTTCAGTTAGCACTTCCACTAATACAATCCCTTCATAAAGGTAACGATACCGGCTTAATTTAAGTGACCTCACAAACACAACATAAATTCTGTAACAGTAACAGACCCGTGCAAAAATGTAAGCTGTGCTCTTAGCTGGGCATCATTCTTCGTAGTTTCAATACTAACGTTTACATTCCCATGGTTCTAAATATTTGTTGATGTCTGTGCTGCACTTCTGATTTTACTCGACATAACGAATTTGTGTAGTCACAACGACAATGGAGTACGTGCGCACACAACAAACACGAGAAAGAGCGCAAACAATTTATTTACGGAAAGGCAGAGAGGTTGGCCTGAGCGATAGTGTGCTCTAACCTGCTACTACACACAGAAGAAATGCGACAGGGTAGCGAAAGAGTAATGAATGACGATTCTAAGTTTGTGAAATTAGAGAGAAAGAGAGAGGTAGGGAGATTAACAAACCTAGGCTCGGCTGACTACTCTAACAAGGGATGTGAAGGGGGGAATGAATAATAGGCGAGAGAGAGAATAAAAAAGATAAAAGAAAAGTAAATGAACATTTAGTGAAAACACGCACAACACAAACACACGCCGGTAGATCACAGACAATCGTGAAGTTCGGTCGTTTTTTTGTAGCTCTTTAGGGCTTTTCTGGCATTTTGCGTGCCCGAAACTAAGGGCCAAGGTCTCAGGATTTTGTTTTTGGATAGCGGTCTTGTATGAAGACGAACGAGCTTGGCTCCTATAATACGTCGATGAGTTTAGCAGAAAGCAGAGGCATGAAATGCGTTCAAACGCCTCCTCACAGCCACATGAGTAGCATACCGCTGTTAGCCATTCCTATGAGATGACAGTGTGCATTCGTAAATGAACCACCCAGCCCCATGCGACACAACAAAGTTACATATCGATGGGAGATCCCAGGTGGCAAGCGAAGTCGTAAATAGGGTCAATCAAATTTACGCGCGAGTTAGGGCAACCCTATGCATTCCACTATAGAGGTGTGACGTGACGAGCAGGTGATTACAGTTGTTGCACCACGCCCGTTCTATAGAGCGATATGGGTATCTGTCGGCCCTTTTCGTGAGCCGATCCTATAGCTTCATCGGCATGGTCATCGCCAACGATTTCGCAGTGGCTCGGCCGTCATCTATATGTTATACCATGTCCACGCTCGAGTGATTGGTGGTAGTCTAGACATATTTTACTGACTAGGTGTATAGTCCGCCACGCTGGGGCAAATCTATAGATGCCATCCAGTCCAGTGGATTGTATACGGTTACGATTACTCCTATACCCACATTTTGCGCTGTTTACCTAACACAATCTCGTCGATGAATAGTCGACTATGAAATCGTAAAATCGAGATAAGTTTCTCTCACGTCCTTTTGAGTGCGCCATACAGGTGCCAAATATATGTTCAAGTGTTTCAGGTAAGTGACCATGACCACAATATAATTACAAACCTAATATAATTATTGAATGCGCACATATGCGTAAAAACATTGTAACGTGGTGTCTCGTACATATCTGCGAGGTTACATAAAACTGAGACGAGTGCTCGTAGTTTTAGCATGTCATTCAATGCAGCGCAGTTAACGTTTCTCCCAATAATTATATCCATGCTATATTTATCTTATCAACCTCAAGCCTGTGTACCTTGACAAATACTAGTATAGACAACTTCAGTATTTAAAAAAACACATGCCACTGCAGATAATTCTGGTTCATATATCTGACGCTGCCTATTCAGAAAGGCAAGCTAAGCGTTTATTTCTTCTCGCAGGCGCAGGCATATGTGTCTCTGGTGATCACGGCCTACGCGTTTGCTTCGATCATTTACTTGCTCATTGAGTGCCCGGTGGCCGCACTAGACAACCTGGTGTTCAGCAGGCTGATGCCCAAGGAGACCATTCTGAAAGTTATGCAAGGCAAAGCAACGAGCGAAGAAGTGAAGTATATCGAAGCCCTGGCTCAATCGAAAAGCAAGAAAGCATTTGACCTTGCCTCTAAGCAAACCAGTGTCAATGGACTCCCCGGGTCGTCAAACCACAACTTTGACGATAAACACATCTGCTCCACCAATGGGACTCTCAACACCAACCTCAGTGAAGATACTCAATCAAACGGGGCGGTGATATCAGTCAAGTTTTAAGAGCAGACTGTTGTGCGCTCCCGTGTACAAGAACCGACAGTAGTGGCCGACTTTCGCAACCAAATTAGAGCTATCGTGTGATGCATTTTATCGGTGCTCGTCTATTGCCCCGATTTCAAACTTGGTCCAAAAGTACGGTGGATTGAATCAGTGGTCTACGTAATTCTTTAGTTACCACTCAATATCAGGTTCCTTCAGTGAGCATTTGGTTCCTGCAAATTGCAGATCGTGTTTACCTAAAAACCCAAACATTCTCTTTTTCTGTTGCATTCTTGTGCGCTCTTGTACGCACCCATTCCGTCATGTATATTAACGTCACGAAATGCGTGCAATACTCTCGTACGCGAGCTACCAGCGTTTGGTGAGCTTATGCTGGTGTGCGAATCACTAATAACGTGACACTTACGGATAGCTGAATGCCTTTGCGGAAGCTCCTGAGCACCCTAATGCAACACAATCACTTCATTGATCATACCAGCTACTCCAGGGATATCAAACGAAGTCAACTGCGGGCTTCCAATAAATGCTATGCCTGTGACATATACTAACCTCTTATAGAGGTCCATAAGCTAGTGTAACGCTTTTCCCAATATATAGCCATTTGACTATTAGAAAATGCGAAGCTTGTTCTGTTTGTTGTTATATTCGTGCGGTGATGGCCGCTAACTTTTAGGCCTAATTTACTATTCATATTAGCACAGGTTATATTTCTTTTTAAAGGAAAAGGAGCTGCCGTTGAACACACTAAACATTGAGGTATAATTAAACAATTAATTCGGCTTAGGTCTAAATTTTTTGTAATGAAGATTTTTGTCTGATTACTCATGAAAAAAAGTAAGCAATCACGCATGTTTATCTCACTGACATCATCGGAGAAATTACGTTAATGATTTTTTTGAAGGACACTCGGCGTTTGTGATGTCTTGGCTTCCTTCTTGTGTTCCTGTTGGCATGCCCAGTGTTCTAAAGAGAATACTGAAAATTAATTTTGCAGAATGCAGCCATATAAATACTATAGTCTCTCTATGAAGCAATGCACGCGTGTAATGTATGCTGAAGAAGCTATCAGTTTTATCCTGTGACACAAATTCTTGTTAAAGTGTCGCTCCCTCTCGAGACGACATGCAGTTGTCTCCCTATGTTCTAAATCACTAACGCACCCAGTGACACCTAATGAGCTCTCGTGGGCTTTGTAAACTGTGAAATAAAAAACAAGTTCCATAAAACAGCGTTGATTGATGGATGGATTGATTGATGTGTGGGCTTTAACGTCCCAAAACCACCATATGATTATGAAAGACGCCGTAGTAGAGTGCTCCGGAAATAGCGGCCCCCTGGGGTTCCTTAACGTGCACCCAAATCTGAACACATGGGCCTATAGCATTTTCGCGTGCATCGAAAATGCAGCCGGCGCAGCCAAGATTCGATCCCGCGACCTACAGGTCTCATGCAACAGCGTCATGCAACAGCGTGGTATGTTTCTCCTGCGCACGTGACGACTTTCTTAGTACGCCATATTTATAATGCAGTAAGTATTTCCATAGCCTACTAAAAATAAGCAAATCCGAAGGCTTGGCGTGCTTATTTACGACCATGCACAGCAAACACAGAGAAAAAAGTCGTCAACATTATGTAGACAATTTCCAGTTGACATGTTCATCATTCATGTGCATAACACGTGTGATGCTTTACCATTAGGTTTGCCACGGTTGTCATCATATCTTTCAGGTATTTTTTTCTTGTTTTTTTATTTTCTCGTGAATGCAAAAATCGTGTGAAGAAGACAGAATAATTGGTAAAGAAGGAAAGGTAGGGAAATTAAGCAGTCCAGGATAACCGGTTTGCTACCCTACATGTGGGAACGGGATGGGGAGATTAAAAGAGGGGGCGAAAAAGAGGAGAAAGAGAGGGAAATCACACAATACAGCACACGACCACGCAGTCAGTTACAATCCATCACTGTCACAGTCACTTCTCCAAGTACATTTTTCTCAAAAATCTCAGTGGTTTCTTGGTCGCCTTCACCTGCGATGTCCTCCGTCGACGACGTGCAAAAGTAGATTCAACTCACATTTGTCCATTGTCAAGGTGCACTGAAAAGGACGCCAGTAGATGTCTCTGAACATTATAGACCAGACGGTCATACAGAATGTGTTGTAGCATGTCCTCGCAACGGCAGACATTGCAGAGCACATTGTCGGCCATTCCAGTGGAATAAAATGACAGCGTATGAACCAAGCTACGTCTGCCACGCTTAGAGTCACAAATATATGTGAGAAATTACATTACCAATACATTTTTGTATAAAAATAGTAAACAACACAGCGCGAAAACGACAAATAAAAAACAGAGGAGACAGGAAAGATTCTTCACTGTTTCTTGCCTGTCGTTTCCGCGCTGTGTTTTTACTGTGTATGTGAACCAACTCGCCCAAGGCTCGAGCTTAGCAAGCTTTGTTATAAAACCCAATGCTATTGTTTCTAATAGTTTATATAGGTAATAATAAGATAGTGGGTCTAACGTTCTGACACTACAATATCATTGAAAGACGTCATTGTGGAGGGCTCCTGGTATTTTCTTTTCCTGGGGTTCATTAATGCGTAGGTAAATCTAAGTACACAGACATCGAGTAAATACCAATGTTTCTCGGTTTTAATATAAACTAAAATGACCAGCACTAAACTATTATTCCTTTGCCTGATTGCACGCGCACGTTGCGTTATAATGAATGGCCGAAGCAGTGGAATGCCACTGGGGCGCAATAGGTAGTCGTAAAATGGAGCTATACTGTGCGGTGCAACGAAACGCTGTCCGTTTCACTCTTGCTTCTGAAGCGATTATATGCATCCACTTGCAAGTTCCGAATAGCGCCAATCAGATCGGGGAAACGTGTAAGGTGGCATTGACACCGGTGGCTGACAGAGCTTTAGAATGGTGGCTAAGTGGGCCTGTTGATAGGTCACATAATTATTCAAGCAGCGTGGAAACGGGGCACTGATTATAGGGCACACAACATACTCGCTGTATTGTGGGGTGTATTATCACAGTGCAGTTTCTGCGCAGTCTGAAAAACCATGTGACTGACAGAAGTCTGAAGCTACTCAAGGAAATAGGTGTTCACACCAGAAAATGCTATCCGTCTGTCGTCACATTGGCAACCGCTTTCGTTTACACATCTTTGCAACCCATTCGGTCATGAGACCACTGACAATTACTGGTATGGATGCACCCAAACTGTGGCAGTACCTTCCAGTAGCGTATAACCGGAATTTTTTTTTTTGAGGGGGGGAGAGGGGTGAGGTGGTAGAATTGCACTTTTTCAGAGCGAAGCTCCTTTGGCTCTTAAACCGTCGTCCCTGCAGCGGTCGACTTTCCTCCGCCGGACAAACGCGCCGAGCAAAACGACTGGTGAGCGCTCCCGGCGCTGAGGCTCGCGCCGCGCCACGCGCGCAGCACAGTCACCCACTTCGTCGTTCCCGCCACGCAGCGCAGCAAAGGCTCTTCCCACGCACTCCTCAACCTACCACCTTCCTGAAAGCCAGCAGCAATATCAGGCGCCCAATCGTTTCCATTCTATTTCCAAAGAGCTTTGTTCATCGGTTGTATTCGTACACGGAACTGCTTGTTTTTGTATGTTCGTACGTATTTGTATATGTGCGTGTATACAGGGTGCCCAGCTATCTTTAGCCAGGTAGTCAGGGTTAAAAAAAAAGTCCACTCACTTCACATTGATGCGACCGAATGCATGTTGCTTGCAACAGCCTGGTGTAAGTCACATTTTTCCGCTTTGTGACCTAATTACACATTTTCAATTACCCAAGTTTTGAAGAAACGAAGCAAGCCCAAAGTTATATAGAAAAAAATTGTACATCCGTGAGCAAAACATTTTGTTAGACATTTTATAACTTTATATCGTTTAAATTTTACAGTTTTTCAGCCTATTGCAGATTCCAACAAAATACCAAAAAATAGCAGCATATCCAGGGAGAGAATGATGATGAGTGGGGTGAAGCATTCGTCAGTCCATGCGCGCTTCCGCTCGTCCGTGCGTCCATCTATGCGTCCGTCTGTCAGTCCATCCATCCGTTCGCCTGCGCGCCCATCTGTGCGTCCACCCGTGCGTCCGTCTGTACGTTCATGCGTGCGTCCGTCTCTGCGTTAGTCCATCTATCTGTCCATAAGACAGACAGACAGACAGACAGACAGACAGAGACAGACAGACAGACAGACAGACAGACGAATAATTCGCCCTACTCATCACCATCCACTCCGTGGATATGCTGTGGGGTGGTTACAACTACATGCATACATACAGGTGACGACCGACCCACGCCTTAAAGAGCTTGGCCCCTAAAATATACAACGTGACGATTCCTGGCACGCCTAGGCGTGCCATGAATGCACTGCTGCTTAACGTTCTGTGTACAGACATAAGTTTTCCTCTCCACGGTATATGACAGTGACACGACTGTGTCAATCATAATATTCTCTTACATAAAATGGAATGCTATGGATTTCGGGGAGTCGCATCTTAACTTCTTCGCTCCTACCGACACTACCGACTTCAGTTTACCGAATTTGGCTCTCACATATCACGTTTGAGGCGTATGTGGAGTACCACGAGATAACATTTTAGGGCCAATAATTTTCCTGTTTTACATTATTGATATCATACAAATAAACACCACTTGTCGGGGCACCTTTTACGCTGATGATTGCACCGTATTTTTCAGAGACATAGAACTCTATAGTATTTAAGCTAAAGCAAGCACGTTCTGCTCGAAGCTGAATGTCTGGTGCAAGGCGAACAGCCTTGTATTGAATGAAGCCAAACTTAAGTGTGTTGTATATCTTTCTTGTGGAAGGCTGGCTGTGGTACCTGAAGAGCTGTCCAAAGTCCGTTCACTGTTTGCATTGAAAAATGCATTAAAACACTTGTCATCATCTTCCACGAGCATGTGTTATATAATGACCAAGTAAACGTGGTTACAGTAAAATTA